TCAGGGAAGGCTCCCTGGAAGAGGAATGCCCCAGCTGAGCCTTAATGGTTAGTAGGAGCAAGCTGGCTATGAAAGGCCTGGACTAAGGCATAGAAGCCAGGCAGCATGGCAGAGCTACATGGGGAGAGGGTGCCGCAGGTGGTCTAGAATGAAAGTCAGGTTCCAGTCACAGAGGCAGGAGTTGAGGTCCAAGACTCCCTGGATCAGCGCATGCCGGGCTCTGACTGCCAGACTAAACAATCCAGGCTTGATTTTGAAGGCCTTGGGAGCGGTCAGTATGGTGGGGTCGGAGGTGCATTCTGAAAAGAGCCCTTGGCTGCAGAAAGAGGCCCAGAAGAGGGGCTAGAAGGAGGAGCCCGCGTGTCCAGGCTCTGGACTTGGGGGAGCACCTTGTGGGTGCCACCAGTTAGACTGAGTCAAGACACAGACATAGACTGATTACTCGTGTTACTAGTGCTGCTACCAGTAGGAATGTCAGGGGGCACTGTTTCAGCTGAAGAACAAGAACTACCACTGTTGAGCACTTAGTATGTACCAGGCACTACTCAGAGCTCGCAGCATGTGTTAGCTCATACAGTCCCAGTGAAATCCTCTGAGAGGAGCCTGGGACTGTCCCCACTAATGGATGGAGTGTCTGAGGCACAGAGCACTTAATGTAGGTGGTGGTAGAGCTGGACTTTGAATCCAGGCTCTCTTGCCCCAGAACCTTCCATATCCGGTCCTTGTCTCTAAATTCACAGCCCTCCTTAAAAGGGGGTGAGGCCTGCTCTAGAGCAGAGCTTTCATCTTGTATGGCTTCTGATGTTCACTTAAAGCAGGGGAACTTTTTATTTTTATTTATTTGAGGGGAGGAGGTAATTACATTTATTTATTTTTAGAGGAGGTACTGGGGATCGAACCCAGGACCTTGTGCATCCTGAGCATGTACTCTGCCATTTGAGTTATACCCTCCCAACCAAGCAGGGAAACTTTTGACTCTTGGTGGCTTCAGCCAAACACTAGGATCATGGTAAGGGGAGGACATGACCCCAGTACTCACAGCTGATTAAAAAAAAGCAGGGATCCTTTTGCTATGCTCTGTGGTCACAGCTAATGAATGGCCACCTCCTCCCACTTGGCCACTCACCACCCTCCGCCACCCCAGCAGCTGGGAGCTGATGAGCAGTAATGATGATGCACCCCGCTCTCCCGCGGCCCTCTGATGCCCCCATGTCCACATAGGTGGAAAGGAGACTACGGAACCAGAATCCAGCAGTACTTCCCGTCCAATTACGTCGAGGACATTTCGACAGCTGATGTGGAGGAGCTGGAAAAGCAGGTGAGTCTCCATCATTTGTCACAGGGAGGGACTTGCTGATCTACTCTGAGGGGTCCACTGCGCCATCCTAGTGGACAAATCTTACCCGCAATGCTGTGTGGTCCCCACCAAGCTCCACAACAGGGACAACAGAGTGACGGGGAAATTGGGACTGTCCCCTGAGTTGTTGTGGGTGAAAGTCACTGTGACAGGCCAGTCATGTTTCAATCAGGTTGTGCTGGGCTGGAAGGCTTTGCATATGCAGGAGAATTCTCTCTGGAGGGAAAATGGCCAAATGGGGAATTTGTCCTTTGCTTAAAGCGGCTTACAAATGAAACACATTTAGTTTACCCAGCCAGACATCCAGAACGTGCTTAGGGTGAGTCAGCAAGCCGGCCCAAGTGGAAGGTGACTTGAGGCCCTCCCGGTGACACTGTCCCCCACTGCCTCTTGCTGTGAAGGCTCAAAGAGCAGCTACTTTCAGTATGACAGCAGTGCACTAATGCTGCAATCCTAGACCTTCTTCTTAGGGAGCTGGGGCAATCTGGGAGGGCTGCATGGAGGAATGGGGCGTTTGGGTGTTAAATAAGTCAGATTCTAACAGCAAGAGATCAGCAGTAGGGAGGCCCAGCCTAAGCAAAGGTGTGGTGGTGGGAACGTGGTTTTGTTCATCGTGCTCGACCCGAGGCAGAGACGTGACCCCTCTTGCTGTGTCTGTCCCTTGTTGCCCTCACCCATACAGTTAGCATTAGCCTGGTGGAGGAGTGGGGCAGTGCAAACAGTGGGCAGATGCACAGTTCTGGCCGCTTTCCTGAGACCGAGATAATCCTCATTTTACCTGGACCTGGGATGGTTCCAATGTGCAGCGGGAGGAAGAGCTGGAAGGCTGACCAGGGTCCAGGAAACCTCGAGGCCAGATTTCAGAGCATACATAGTGTTGCTCCCGTAGGACACAGGGAGCTACAGAAGGTTCTTCAGCTGAGCTTTAAAGGGAGGCCAGACAGTCTCATTTCATAACAAGACCAGAAGAAAGGGTCTAGGATGTTTTTTGAAACCAGATCCGCGGAAATGCTTCAAAATCTGTTCTAGAATTCACAGGGCACATTTTTACAGATTGGAAAATGAAATGCTGAACCTGCCGGCACCTGCTCGCTGCTGGGTCCCCACCAGCAACATGCTTCATTATTTAGCTCTCTCCCCGTGGACGTAGCCTGTAACGAAAATGCATTTTAAACAGTTCCACAGGCAGTGTCTCTGCTAAACGGTGTGCTTTGGAAATTGGTTATCTTTTTATTATTCTCGGTAAGACTCACGTGAGTTATGTCTTGTTTCTTCACAGATTATTGAAGACAATCCCTTAGGGTCTCTTTGCAGAGGAATACTGGATCTGAACACCTATAATGTTGGTAGGTACACACGTGGTCTCAGCCCTGATTCCCACCCGAATCTCCGACTGCATGGCCTCAGAACGGCCCCAGGCAGGGAGGCAGCTGTCCCTGGGTCCTCTAGCCTTGACTTAGATGCTAAAACTGAGTGTGGGCCAGGCTGGTCACTGATCTGCATGCAATCTTATGTCTTGATTGCTCTGCCGTAGATTTGTGTGCGGTGCTATCACAGAGTCTGGCGCACACACAGTAAGCATGTCAGGGGTGTGCTGGGGTTTTCCCTTGCTTTTCTAGGAGGTGCTGAGCTGTTGGCCGGGCTGTGATGGAGGGTAGACTTGGTGTGTCCAGTTCTAAGCCCAGCTCTGCCTCTCAGTTGCTGCCAGACCGTAGGCCTGTCATTTCCCCTCTCAGAGCTGCAGCTTCCTGGTGGCTCAGCTGGGCGCCAGGAAACCTGGCCTCCCCTCGGGACCTGGGGAAAGGAGGACATGCACAGCCTCAACAGTAGTGGCGGTGGCGGCGGCGGGGGTGGGTATTGATTTGCATGGGGCTTCTTGGGCCTTTTAAATGGGCGTATAGAAGCTTCCAGATGAAAGGCTTAAAGGCATTGAAGGGAGACTTTCTGGACAAGTAGCCCGAGCTGCTTTTGTTGGACACGAGCAGCCCACGTGTCTGAAGGAGGTTTCCACCCGCCCTGCAGTCCATCAGTCCGTTTGCCTTGGCAGGTGGGAGAGGGATCCTTGGTTGCAGTTAACAGATGAGAACACCCAGCCCCGTGGTGACCTGCCTGAGCTCCCTCTGGGAGTTAATAGGCGGGGTCTGATGTACTCGGGGCCAGTGCCCTCACTTCTGTTGCTCTTGGTATCATCCTGCACCGAATCTGCAAAGCACACACGTGGCTCAGGGTTCTGAAGAGGGAGTTTGGTGTCAGGTCTGATTTGAGCCTCAGCTGCACCGCTGCTACCTTTGTGACCTTCCGTGGGTTCTTCTGCCTCCACAAGTCTCTGTTTCCTGTCCTGTAAAATGGGCATAACAGGACTTGCATCCCCTAAAAGCTGTGATTAGGATTAACTAAGATACAGTGTGTATAATCTGCTTAGAGTGGTGCCTGGCATATAAGAGCCCAGAGATCTCAGCTAACCCTATTATTTGCCAGATAATTTCTCCTCTCATAGCCTTTATTTTCTTACCTGGAAAATAGTTTCTCTGCACAGAGAATCTGTTCCAGGCCTAGCTTCTCGGGGCTGCTGCTGACCCTTGGCTTAGGCTGATCACTCCAATCTCTGCTCCATCTTCACTGGCTGACTCGCCTGTGTCCCTGCCTCAGATTATGCTCTCCTTTCTCTGATAAGGACACTGGTTCTTAGATTTAGGGTCCACTCTAAATGCACGGATGATCTCATCCTGCGATCCTGAAGTACATGTGCCCAGACCCAGCTTCCAAATAAGGTCACACTCACAGGTAGTGGGGTTAAGCTGTGGCCCGCTGCCTGATCAAAGGTAAATGTCCCAGACCACGCTGCCCTTGGTTACAGCAGTGGCGGTTGGGTTGGGTTCATTAAGAGAAGTGGCCTGGGGCAGTGGAAGTCTGGTCTTGACAGCCTTCTAACAGGCTAACCAGGACTTTTGTTATCCTCTCCCAAAGTAAAATCCTCACAGGGGAGAAACCAGAAGTCTTTTGTGTTCACCTTGGACCCCAAGAAGCAGGGCGATCCTCCAGTAGAGTTTGCCACGGACAGCGTGGAGGAGCTGTTTGAGTGGTTTCAGAGCATCCGGGAGATCACCTGGAAGATAGACACCAAGGTAAGCCTTTTGCTCACCTGGGCTCAGGTGGGCCTGGACTTCTTAGGCTTCTGGCGCTCTGAGGAGGCTGGGATGGGTCTGGGCCGCAGGAGAAGCAGGCCCAGCGGCCACATAGAGTTCAGGGGGGAGATGAGGTGGGTTTGGACGATAGGTGCACCATGGAGAGGAAGAGATTAGTGATCTGCCTGGGGAGCTGGGTCTAGTTTGAACCTTGGAAGGCTCAGTGTGTGGGCAGTGACACTCGTGGTAGGGGCCTATCTGGCTCCGTGTATCTTAATGGGAAAATGTTGCCTTCCTCACTTTGAATGTTTTCTTGTTTCTAAATATGGTTCAAAGTAGCCTGGATTCTTCCAGGCAGGATTCACTGAGCTCGCCTCCATGGCCCGGGAAGGGCCCTGGGGAGACTGTGACTGACTGGACCAGCTCCTGTATTCTTGTAGGGGAACTTCCACTCTCGATGGGAACGAGCTTTGAGGGTTTGTCCTAAATGGAGCATTAGTGTTTGGCTGGAGGTCTTTTGAGAAGGGCAAGCTTCTAGGGAAGAATAGGAGGTTTAGAATTAGGCCTGTTGGCGTTTGCATCTTGGCAGGGCTGGACCCTGGGCAGGTAACCACCCTTCTCTGGGCCTCAGTTTTCTTGTCAGTCAAATGGACCAAATGCCTATGTAACTCATAAGATGAAGTGAGATGAACTGAGCCAATGTGTGGAACGTACCAGACTCAGGGCAAGGGCTCAGGTCACCATGGTATTTAATCATCACATGGTCGTCATGTGGGAACAAGGAAGGCGGACTCACCCTGCCCTGGGAAACCAGCATGAGACAGGCTTTCCGCTCACCACCGGGAGCTCCTCACCAAGGCTCTAAGAACCTGTTCCAGGCTCGCAATTTTACATTACCTCCGGCTTCCTTCAGTCGATGCTGAAAGGCCAGTCGTGAAGAGACACCTAGTTAGTGAGTTTCCAAAGCCTGACCAAGGATGTTGGCTGTGATGTCAAATTCTGAGATGGCCTTGTGGGCGAGGTCTACAGGTCTGGGGAGTAACTGTTAGACAGTTTTGAAGGAGCAGCTAGTATTGCATCCTGAACTGATGTTTTCTGCTGAGGTTGAAGAAAAGAAATGAATGCCCCAGAGCCTGTGCTTTATGAGGCCAGAGGGCCACACTGTGACCCGGGGGTGGTGGCATGTCCCACCCCACCGTCATTTCAAGAAGTTCTGTTGTCATTAGAGGTGAGCTGCCTTGTTGCTAGGGTTTCCTCTTCCCAAAAAGCCCATTGTGAAAACTGTACACCAAGAGACAAAGCCAAGTTGACATAAGGATTGGGAGCAAACAGCTGAGGTTGGAGCACAGACAAGGCTTCAGTTTTCCTGACAGCATCTGGCTGTAGACGGTCTGGCTGACATCTTCTCTGCCTCTTGCTCTGTGCCTGTCCTGCCCACCCGAGCCCTTCGAGCCTTACTGCTATGGCTTGCTTTGGACCCAGGGACATGTAGGGAGTGTGAGAAGGGCTAGTGACAGTTGGTGCGCATACATGAACTAGGGCAGATTTCGGAGGCTTATAGTCACATTGAAAACTGCCCTTGTGCTGTGTTCGCCTCCGAATGCACATAAAACGCTTGTTTGCCGGTCATTGCCAGGGTCCACTCGGGCCCTAGGGTTTTTGTCAGCGCTTAGGGTGAATGAATTTTTTCAGGAGGAAACGGGTGCCCTCACTTGCTTGTTTAAAGAGTGGACATTCTTGTCCTTGGCCTGGGGAGGTGTTTCTGGGGCAATCCTTGTAGCCACTCCTTGTTTGCCACAGGCCGGGCTCCTTGTTTAATTCTCATGATGGCTCCAGGAGGTGATTACTCACATTGGCCTCATTGTACAGTTGAGGTGCAGAGAGCCTAGATGACTTGCCCAGTGGGACCAGCTTTCAAACCTGCACCTGAGTCCAGTTCCCACTGTTGTAACCACTGTGGCACCCCTGTCACCACATCAGCACTTGTCACCTGAGGACTTGCTTCCTGCAGGGTCCTGCTCCCAAGGGACCATAGTGTCTCAGTGGGGACACAGGCCTGGCACTTGTGCTGAGGAGCACCAACAGGGCGGTCGGGTAAGGGATGGTGCAGAGCTGAGACCGGATAAGGCAGCGAACACTCTGGAAGGTTTGGGGAAAACAGCATCTCTTTCCTAGTCCTGGATGGAGTTATGCAGAAAGGCACCCTGGAGAAGGAGTGATTTGGGTGGAGCCAGAAGGAAAGGGGACCTGATGGACCCACAGAGGAGGGAGGGTGCAGGCTGCAGGCGGAGGAGCCAGGAGGTCGTTGCTGTGGCTCAGTGGGATCCGGGATGTGAACTCCCAGGGATGTGAACTCGGGCATTTCAGAGAAGTCTTCCCCAGTCCCTGGCGGCTGACCAGGGACAAAGCAAGGTGGTAACATGGGGGATGCTGATTGGTTAAGCATCTCGTCTTGGCACTGGCCTGCTGTGGAGCTGCAATTTCTTTGTAAAATGGAGGTAACTTCAGTAGATTCTACCTCACAGGGATGTGTGGGCTTGGACAATATCCATCAAGCACTTAGCGTGCGATGCCCCCAAGTGGTGGATGTTACCATCTGCATATGGTACTGTCTCATGGGTCCCCCCTCTCGGCCAACAGCCAACGGGAGGATGCGTCAGAATTTGGCTTGAAAGGGTTGCCTGGTTTGGAGTGGAGTGAGCAGCTCATCCTTACTTGAAGGTAGATTTGACTGTGGGTCCTCCGAGGGGGGGGATGGCTCCCAAGTCCATGGTGTGTGGCTTGGGCCTTGGAGAGCCCTTCGTAGTGAACTTTGCACACTGAAGGGGAGAGCGAGTGATGACAAGGATGCGATGGTCTAGAGAGGTCGTGGGCCTGGAGAACTAGAATGTGATGAACTGTCACAGCGTGGCAGTGTTAGGGGCAGGGACAGGGCAGGAGGCCGAGAGCAGAGAGTGAAGGAGAGAGGGACGGTGACAAAGAGGAGCCCTCGTTCCCTCATATTCTCAAGCGCTGGGGCCAGAGGCTGAGCTAGAATCCTGGGTGGTGAGAGCTTAGCCCAGCATCTCGGCAGTAAGAGGAAGGAAAGGGAGTGGAGGGGCCGGGGAAAGGAAGACTGTGCACTGCACTGAAGCTCCAAGCGTGCAGGAGGGCCAAGAGGAGAAAGGGGACCCAGAGGAGGAATCGCCCACCAGGTGAGCTGGGAGGGTGGGATTCTTTGGTGGCGGCTTGAGGGCTGAGACTGAAGCTGCATGGCCCCCCCAGGAGAACAACATGAAGTACTGGGAGAAGAACCAGTCCATCGCCATCGAGCTCTCGGACCTGGTCGTCTACTGCAAACCCACCAGCAAGACCAAGGACAACCTGGGTACGCACCCCCACCCCCAGGCCTCTGCCTCCCAGCCTCAGGGAAAACTCTTGGTTCTGTCTGAGTCTGGCGTTGTCAGAGGGCAGAGTGAGATGGTCCCTGGAGTCAGTCTGTCCTCGGCGAGGATGCTGGTGGAACAGGCCCTTTTCGTTTCTTCTGAAGGAAAACCCTCTTACAGGGTGGATTCATTTTCCTGCTGTTGTAGCAGGTCCCTAGAGACGTGGGGGCTGAAACAACATGTATTTGTTCTCTCACAGTCCCAGGGCCAGAAGCTCAGAATCAGTATCTCTGAGCTGAAATCTAGGTGTCAGCAGGGCCCTACTCCCTCCAGAGGAGGAGAAGACTCTTGAAGCTGCTGGCGTTTCTAGGCTGGTGGCCCCGTCACTCTGATCTCTGCCTTCGTGGTCACATTGTACTCACATCCCCCACTTACTTCCCCAGTATAAGGACTTTTTGGTTTCATTTAGGGCCCAGAGCATCTCCCCATTTCAAGCCCTTCCATTGACTCAATTGTGACATCCCTTTGCTGTATAAGGAAAGAATGTAGTCACAGGTTCCAGAGCTCAGGACCTGGGTGTCTTTGGGGGCCACGACACAGCCTCCCCTGGAAGGAGTCAAGAACAGATCTTCTACCAAATTCTCCAGAGTAGCACGTTCTTTGATCTAATAATGGTCCCGTTCATATTTTCTTCCCTCTTTAGAGCAACTCCTATCTCTGACCCCAGGAATCTGTAAGTCCAGGGACGAGGACAAGAGAAACAGTACTAAACCCCAGAGTTAGTGGGCACTGGGAGGCTGGTCCCTGGGTACCTCAATGTGCAGGGAAAGATGTCAAAGCTCAGAATTGTGTTGAGGCAGGTGTGTTTAGGGCTGTCTCAGCACAGCTGGATGGGAAGGAGTGAAGCTTCTTTCTCCCTCCACCAGGATGTTGGATTTCCCCATCTTGTGTCTACAACACCTCTGGGGAGGACGCCACATCCCCTGTCTGCATCTTCCACTCCTCAGATCTCCTCCCTGCTGACCCCTGAGGCCATCCTGCACCCTACCCCTTCTGTAACTGTACCACTTATGTGGTTTTTTTGAACAGGGCTGTCGGTGGTTTTAATCAAGAAGATAATTACGATAATCCGAGACTAAAAGGCTGTGGGAACACTGGGCTCCCTTTTAATACCTGGGACCCCGGAGGGCAAGAGCCCGTAGCAGACCCAATCACGGCAATACCATCATAACCACTCTTATGTCTTGCCCAAGAGTGGGTTTCATTTTATGACTCATGCATCCAGCCTGTGCACCAGGCATTAAGAAAATGTGGGAGACCCAGAATAAATGACTGTTCCTTCTGTGTGTTCAGAAAACCCCGACTTCCGAGAAATCCGCTCTTTCGTGGAGACGAAGGCTGACTGTGTTGTCCGACAGAAACCTAATGATCTCTTGAAATACAATCAAAAGGGCCTGACCCGCGTCTACCCCAAGGGACAGAGGGTGGACTCCTCCAATTACGACCCCTTCCGCCTCTGGCTGTGCGGCGCCCAGATGGTGGCACTCAATTTCCAGACCGCAGGTAAAGGGGGGGTGATTGTGGCCAATAAATTGGGTGGGGAGAGAAGGGAGGGAGGGAGGAAGGAAGGGAAAGGAAGGGAGGGAGGAAAGGAGGAAGGACCCACTGCGGCCAGACATCGCAGACTGGTTTTTTTGTTTGTTTAGGTGGAGTGACTTTCTTTGCAGCTTTCTATATCCTAGCTGAAAGCAGAGAAAGAAACCTCTTTCTTTCTTTTTGAATCTTAAAATTTCCTTTTTCGGTTTCCATCTTTCTTAAAGGATTTTTTTGTTGTTGTTCTGTTTATTTCTAACATGAACTTTTGTTTGTTTCTAATTTTGTTCCAAGTTATCACCACAACCGTGATTATTCTAAATCCTAATGTTGCTCTGGGCTCTGTAGTTCCAAACCTGTTCTTTTGGCTCACTTTGAAGAATTAGGCTTTCTGGTGTTCGTCTATTTTATGGGCATGTCTTTTCTTTCACTGGAGGAATGTTATTCTGCGCCTTACTGTTTTTTCTTACTTTAATTTTCTATGAGATTCAACTAGTCATTTTCTGTTGATCATTCTTACGCTAAATTAATTTTCCTGAACTTTTAGGGGGTCAGTGAATTGAAATAACTTTTTTTAGCTTCCTGCCTCTAGCAGTCCCTCTTAGGTTATTGTCATGAAGTCTTCCAAAATACGGTCTCCTAGTCTGAGAATTCCTGGTCTGTGCTGTTTTCACTGCATGGTCTTGCTGGCTCTCACGCGAGCTCTCTTGCACAGGCTTTCTCTCCCCTCTTCTCCCTTCCTCCTTCTGCTCCCTATTACCCATCTTTTGCTTAAGTCAGATTCTCTGGACCAGTTTCTTCTCATTGTGGCATTTTTGTCCTAAAAGGGAACTTCAATTTCAGCCCTTTCAGATCTTACCTTGCCTTGTTTCCCAGCTCCCTGACCTCATAATTAGAACATGCAAAACCTTTCCTAGTTTGAGCTGTTCTCTTGAGTGCCTGTTGCCTCTTTTTGGTTTCCCTTTTCTCAAGCTCATCTGATATCTCATCTCCTCAGATATTTGTTGATGTTGAGCAGGGCATGTCGATTTGGTGGTTTGGCCCACTCATATTTGTCAAGATATCACCTAGTGTGTAGGTATGTGTGTATGTGTGTGTGTATATATATATATATGTGTATATATATATATATATATATATATTGGTAGATCTTATTTGTGGATTTTGGTTTTGTTATTCTAGTCACTTTGTTTTCATGGAGTGATTGTAAGAGATTTTAGAAGTTATCTTCCATTACAATTTTCCCAGAATTTCTTTCTCCTCACTCTTGAATGATAGTTTAGGTCACAGAAACCTGCACTGTTAGTTCTTTCCTCAGTACCTTGTGGCTCTTACTCTGTTGTCTCCTATGTCTGTTCTTGCTGATCAAAACATCTGCTTATAGTCTAAATGTTGTATCTTTGCCAGATGTAAAGACAAAATATTAAGGGCCATCAGGGAGCCTTTAAATATAGACGGGAAAGTACAGGGTGTGTCTGCAAGGTAGACTGGTTTTGGTGGAGCAGATTGCAGGAAGGTACACTGGAACAAATCTGGAGCGTTCTGAAAAGCAGGTCATGAGTTAATGCTGGAACAGTTTCACTTCTCATGGATGTATTACTATTAGCATATGCCCCATTTAAGTAGGATCAGAGTTCTGCCGAAGTAGTAAACGTGCAGACAAAAACATGATTTGACTTTAGCAAGAACGACTAGTGTCTGCAGGGCCTGATGTTTATCATTCCTCTACATTAGTCAGTGCAATGAATTAGTTTCAGAGTGGGAGCCACAATTCCAAATGAATAGATTTCCTTGAGCCACATCTTAGTTACACTGGAAAGTGATCTGTGTGAAGGACATCACTGAAATGACGCGTTTTTCCTAAAGACCTGAATTAACTTTATGACTAGTGATAACCCTTATAGTCAAGGGGGAAGAAGTGAAGTAGTGTTTTACAGTCAGTTATACCTCAGTGTCCATGAGCTGACTTACAACCTCACAACCGAACGTGTGGTTGTTCCACTCTATGTGGCATTACTGCAAGGGAAAATGTGGCCTGAATTATGCACTCACCAAACTTTCTTCCACTTTTGATCATGTGATTAAGCAAAACGGATGAATGAGTTGCAACCCTTTTCCTAAGAGTGAATCAGTGCCTATGAAGGCCAGAGAAGCGTTGGGGAAATCAGCCTCCTAAGTACATTCAGACCTTTACGGAAATTTCATAAGCATAGGTAGACTAATGTATGAAAGAATGGTTCTTGAGACACGGGACACCACACAGTGAGGGACAGTGATCCTGGACAGATGAGAAACAACAAAGCAAGCTCTGGGATTACCCCACCTGTCTGCTTTGAGAGCGTTTCCAGACTACAGCACAGGCTGAGGAACCAGGAACCCAGCTACTCACTGAGTTGGGGAGATAAAGGGGAGTGTGGGGAACTCAAGGTAGCTAGAGAGGGGGAATAGCTCAGTGGTAGAGTGCCAGCCCAGCATTCAGGAGGCCCTGGGTTCAATCCCGGAGAGGAAAGGAAGGTGAAGAAAAAAATTCTTTTACTTGGGTGGAAAAAAACTCAATAAAAATAAAATTCACTTACTGTTTCTTAATTATAAATTATGATGCATGGATAATACATAGTATAAAAGAAATGGAAGCAAAAATCACAACCTGGGGACAACCACTGTTAACATTTAGTATGTTTTTGTAAATATATTTTTTGTATATATATATATATATATATAGTTATTTTTGTGTATATG